GTTTTCTGTCACTGGAAAAATGATATGACCCAGAACAATTTTATCTTTTTTTTTTTCCTTAGTTTCAGGACAATTAGGTAACTAGATCACTCGGGTACCCGATCACATCTATTTTCTTCTCCTTTAAAGAATTTTGGGGGGCACCTGGGTGGCTCAGTGGTTAAAGCCTCTGCCTTTGGCTCAGGTCATGATATCAGGGTCCTGGGATTGAGCCCCGCTTCCCTCTCTCTCTCTCTCTCTCTGCCTGCCTCTTTGCCTACTTGTGATCTTTGTCTGTCAAATAAATAAATAAAATCTTTAAAAAAAAAAGAATTTGGGGGTCATTTAAAAATGATCGTTGTACCCTGCATTTAAGTTCATAGCTGTTTGCAACCCTCTGTGGAGGATACAGAGAACTGTGAGTATAAGGATGCGTTCTCAACAAGCTGACCTTCCCCGTCACTTCAACTGTACTTTCTCTTCCTCCAGCCAGTCCTTCTCAGATATCAGCAGAGCCTGCCTGTGGGGCTTTCTGGCTGCCAGGCACTTAGCTAGTGAAGTGTCTAGCTGGCTTTCTATGAGAAACCCCTGGAGGCTTGCAGAATCTTGCCCCCTATGAATATCTGGTCAAGCCACCGTGCTTTCATCAGAATGCTCTAGTCTTGTTCTGTGGGAAGACACGGATGGATTACAGAACCCAGGTTCAACCAGGCTTTGCAAGTATTTCCCACTTTGGATTCATCCCCACAGGACCTTCCTGGAATTCAGTTATGGAGACAGCCATTGTCTCCATGAGAATTCTAGGCAAAACTCTCGTACCCCCTTATAGGAGGGGATCATCTGCAGAGGGACCAAATCGGTTCTCAAAAGCTGGAAGTTGAAGATATAAAAACCTATAGCACAGGCCAAGACTTTTGGGCTAGTTGAAAACTCTCAGAATGAAACTGCACACTTCTATCAAAGAAGAGAAACTCCTGTTTCCTAGAGTGTCCTAAAAGAAGATGGGTATTTTTCAAGACTCACCGTGTGGACTGGGCCTTGCCCTTAGTAATACAAATGGAAAATAATCAAGTTTGCTCTACGCATGGGGTAATGGCCAGCCAAGCCCTCCGAAGGCTGGGGGCCACTGTTGCCTTCCCTCTCTGAAACTCCTGAAGGTCCAGTATGGACCTGGTGGGAGAAGAGCTGGAGAGGAAAGATGTACAAGGTCTGAGAGCATAGAAGGCCACCTGTTTTTAATCAATTGGTCCATATACACCCTACAAATACAGTAGGTGATGCTAAAGCTAAGCAAAGAAATTACAGTATTTATTGAGCACCTACTATGAGCCCAAATTGGTTTGATTTCAAAGTCCACTGCTGGTTGTTGCAACAGTTTCACCATGTCCCCAGCTGCTTGGGTAGTCCCAGAGCCTAGGACCAGTGCTCCCACTGGGACTTCCTCATTTTGTCAAAGCTCATCTTACATGAGCTTTGATAAGCCTTTCTCTGGTGTACTACGTGTTGTTCCCAATTGACTCCAGAAATTTCCCATTTTATATTTTCCAAGGGCCTCTATGGTTGGAGCTGTGCTAGGATTGTGCCAGGCAGGCACAGAATGGCCCCAGAAGATCCTGCACCAATGGGCCCAGATAGCCATCATGGAAAAAATAAACAAAATGTAAATAAGATCAGCACAATGCCCAGGTGTCTCACAGGGACAAAGTGGTACACAGGCTGGTGTCTAGAGTCATCCCTATGAATGAGTGAGGAGTAATTTCTACATCTTTGACTCATCCCCGGGTCAAGAATTCTCCTGACACTTTGTGGTCATTTTTGTTAGCTCGTCTTATGTATTCTTCCCTCTGCAGCTCCCTTGTCTTCTCCCCCTCCATCTGGGACAGAAATTCAGAAGCTTACCTGTGCAGACATAAGTGTGCATTGTCAGGGCAAGGCATCTTGAAGACTCTGAGAGCAACAGTATAGGAATGGACAGAGTGAGGCTCATAGCTGTGGGACAGATGGGTGCCCACTGAGTGACAGCACAGGCATCATTTATAAGAAAGAAGGGATCTGCAGAGACAAATGGGGTTCAGCAAAGTGGCATGTCAAAGTTGATTCAAAGAGAGAAAAATTCCAGGGAGAGAGGAAATAAGTGTCCAGCTCATGAGTTCGGTGGTGCCTGGGAGAGCTCTCCACATGGAGTAGTGGCTGGCTATCTGCTTTTGTTGACCCCTCAGTATTCAGCCCTCTTATGATAACAGAGCCTTGATGATCTTGGGGAACCATGACCCTGTCAGTATGGTCTATGTTGTTGGGTGGGACTGATCCCACTTCTAGAAGGTGGGTGGGTGCATGACACTGATCTGGCCTATGAAAACTCCTGATAAGTTCTGGGATGGGCACTAACCTAACTTTGACAGATGAAAATCATTTTGGGGATTTTTCTGAAATTACTGGGATAGAGCATTCCTCCTGTGGTAGAATTCCCAAGTCATTGACTAGAGCTACTGGGGACATTGATGCCATTATGCTTGGACAGCCTGCCAAGAATGGAGTCAACTCAAAGGAAACCCTCGCTGTGAGGAGTACACCTACAGTGTGCTGGGATTTATTGGGCCCAGAGATCCTAACATGCCTGGAGCTAGAACTTTGCTGGTCTTCAGGTATGTGAGGTAATGAATCTGCTTTTTGGCTTCATTTAGTATGAAGTGGCTTTACATACTTGAACTGAAATGTTGCAGAGAAATCCAAGTGTGGACATTAAAGTTTACATGAAACATAAATGACATGAGGTCACCAGGGCTGGTATGCACAATTGGGACTATACTTCTGTTGAACTACTGAAATACGTCCATTCCCACCTGTAAACGGTTACCCCTCTTCTAGCAACCCAGTGCTGCCTCGGCCTCCTGGACCATCCCCTGGTATGCCTTGGACTTCCCACCATCTACCAACTAAAGGGTCATCTTCTGGCACAACAGGAAGCTTCTGCTGGCAGCTACTCCAACTGATCTTTGAAGGTCACTAATAACCCCCCTGTTGAGAAATTTAATGGTCATTTCTTAGTTCCTCTCTTGTTTGGCCTACCAATAATATTTGATCACCAACAAGGTTGACCACTCCATCCTTGAACACTTGACTTGGCTTAAAGGACATCTCCCACACCTGCAGTCCCTCCTATCTCCCTGGCTATAACATCTCCATTTCTCCAGCTGGCTCCTCTCCACGTCCTTAACTTCTAAAGGTTAACATGTCCCAAGGCGCAATCCTTAGACCTCTTTTCCATGTGGACTCTTCCTCTTGGTGATCTTAGCCAGGTTCAAGGCTTTAAATACTCTTCCAAGTTTCTATTTCACCTGGACCTCTCCCTTAAACTCTAGGTTTATATACCTCCTGGTTTACATGATACCTCCACCTTGATGTCAGGCATCTCAAAGTTACCATGACCCAGACTGAGCTCCTGCTATCCACCACACCCTGAAGTAGTTCTTCCTGCGGTCTTTCCATCCTATTTTCCACTTGTTCAAGCCTAAATCCTTGGTCTTATCTTTAAGTGCTCTCTCTCTATCTCTCTCTCACACACACACACACACACACACACACACCCCACACTTAATTTCTCAACAAATCCCAGCAGTCATGGCTTCAAAATGTGTCCATAAACAGAGCACATCATGCCATCTTTGTGCCCCCCAACCTCGATCCAAGCCATCACCATCTCTCAGCTGCATTATTGCCAAAGCCTCCTAAGTGGATTCCCACTTCTGCCTTTGACCTACTATACTTATTCTTGACACAGAAGCCAGAGTGATTCTTTTATAAGTTGGGTACCAGCATTCCTTCAATACTGCCCACTTATTCAGAGTAAAACCCAATGGTATCACCAGGAGCCCTGCGGCTTGCATGAACCAGCCCCTGCTCCCTCTCTCCCGTCTCTTCCCTGAACCTCAAGCACACTGGCCTCAGCTGAGCCCACTGTGCTCCCCACCCCCACCCATGGCCTTTCCTTTGCTCTTCCCTCAGCCTGAAATGCTCTTTCCCCGGTGATCTGCAAGCTTGCTTCCCCACTTTGTTCACAGCTGAATCCAAATATTGCTTTCTGGGTGAGGGTTTCCCTTACCACCCTAAGATTTCAATCCATGCATCTACCTACTTTGTTTTTTATACTGATTATCTAATATGCTTTTTATTTCACTCATTGACATTGCCTCCTTCTACCTTCCTTGAGGAAATGCACACACAGTGAGGACAGGGAAGATGCTGGCCGCTTGCTGCTCTGTCAAGCAGCAACCGCCACAAGCAAAACGTTATTGATAAATTGCCATGAATGACTTGGCAGTACCTGTTCCACAGTCATTATAAAATATGTATTTTTTTATTATAAATACTTTGAATCTCCTGGGGACACCCCTCTCAACTTAAACTCTCAGAGAAAAACCAGCCACCATCTCTTCTTCTCATTTCATTGCTAATTGAAATAAAAGCACTAACAATCCCAAATGAGCCATCCAGAGAACCAGGTACTTGTTAAAGGAGGCCGTGGGAGGAGGCTAGAAGCATGTCACTCCCTGGCAAGGTGCTCCATATCACAGATTCATAAGTTAATATCTGATACCCATTCCACCCTCTGCTGACTGAGCTTCTAAGCTTTCAGAGAGTCTCACAAAGGAAGGACAGAGCTGGGACCCCTCACAGCCCCTGCCCAGGGGCCTGACACCAAGGCTGGGCCTACGTGAACACCACACCAGGCAACCTGCCCCACCCACCAAGGGCAGAGGGCTGCTTCTTGTATTTTGGTCTGAAAAAGTCACGGAGCCCATGGAATTTCAAGCTCCCTTTGTAGAGGTTTAATTGACAGAAGCAGCTCCAGGAAGAGGGTGAGAGGATGAGGATGGGAGACAGCAAAATGAAGGGGAAGGTAGATAGATGTGCTCTTTGCATGACTTCTTCACCGTAGGATCAGACAAATGAAAGCAATCAAAGCAAGGCCAGTGCCATGTCCAGAGAGCATGGCTTGACACCTGCCTGTGTGCCCTTACCTTAGATTGAGGGGGTCCTCTGTGATGCCTTTCCCCTTCAAGGTGGGCTGGAAAGAGCAGAAGCTAAACAAAAAGGAAAGGATCATTCCAGCAGCAGTCAAGAGTCTTCTACCACCAGGAGACATTTCTGGTGCCAGTCCAGAGGGAGGGTATATACTTGCCCCCCCCCACACCTCAACCTGTCCCCGAGATAATGAACCCCAGACCTGGGTGTACCTCTGAGAGATGCTGTCAGTATACACTCCAGCCTTAATAAAAATGGTAACAATAAAACAATCTGCATGTTGGCAGGTTGGGCCAGGCACTCGACAATTCTGTTGCCAATTTCAGCAACCAATGAAAATGCCATCTAATTTAAGGCTCCTTGAGGCAGGGTTGGGTATGGTTTGGCCAACATTCACTGCCTGAGTCAAGGATTTATAAAACTTCTAGGGGCGCCTGGGTGGCTCAGTGGTTTAAGCCTCCGCTTATGGCTCGGGTCATGATCTCAGGGTCCCGGGATCGAGCCCCGCATCAGGCTCTCTGCTCAGCAGGGAGCCTGCTTCCCCTTCTCTCTCTGCCTGCCTCTCTGCCTACTCGTGATCTCTCTCTCTCTCTGTCAAATAAATACATAAATAAAATCTTTAAAAAAATAAAACTTCTAGATTAACTGTGAAAAACTGTGTTTAACACACAGAAATCACAGGGGGAAATGGACGTGAGGTTCCACATTGCCTGTGTACTTCTTCAGTTTGGTCTAAAATAGAACTTGAAGAAAGCTTTAGGAAGCCCTATAACAACCCTCCTTGGAAGCACCTCAGAGGAAGGCCCACAGGCAATGGAGATGTGCCCAGAGCTGGGGCAACAGCCTCTCTGCGGGAGTCATCTTCACACTGGCCCTGCCCTTTGGTCCCAGCAGCTGGTCCTGGTGCCAGCTACTGGCCAGGGCCAACAGGAAGGCAAGGCCAGAACCTCTGAGCTCAAAATGAGGGATGTCACAAATCACCTCAGAACTTCCAGCCCCAAGTGAAGCTGAACCACCCCTTCTGTCCATCTGCCTTCTGTGTTTTCTGTCTATGGCTAGGAACATCCTTTTCTTTCTGGCCCTTCTAGATGCTCCACAAATCAGTCTGTCTATAACTTTAAGAGTGCCGAAAAAAATAACCATTAGTCTCAAAACATTTAAACCCCAGCTTAAACTTCTTAGATTGATTCATCTATTTGGAGAAAGAAGTTCAACTAAAACATCTGGCTTCTCTCTTTAAGAAAAAAAGATGTTCCATGAAAAAGTGGGAGATCAGTTGTTTGGAATTCTTTCCAGTGAAATACGAAATTGGAGCAGCTAAAATTGGCAACTGGGATCAAAAAGAAAAATTAAGCCAAAAAAATTATTTGGAAAATTAAAAAAACAAAGCCAGAAGATTCTGGAAGGCCCATTAAACAGCCAGCTTCTTAAATGTGTTGTGTCTGCACATGTTCTTCCCTCTTTAGTCATTACTGTCCTAAACTTTAGTCCGTGAAATGGAGCCTTTTTCCCAGGATTTGGGGAAGGCACTTCTGCTGCCTTTTCTGTACTTGGTTCCATGGTTTAATAGCTCTGTAGGTCAGTAAGTCCTCCCTGTGTCTGACCTAAACCCTGCTTGCTGTGGGTTGCAAACAGTGCTCCTGAGAATAGAACAGATCCATGTCTGCTCTGCAATCAGTTCGTGATCAGTTTTCTTAGAGGAGGATTTTTAAACCCTTACCTTTTGAAGACCTTATTCCGATCGTTGTTGTGAAAGACAAGAAACTTGGAATATCCATTTTGGAAAAAGAGCTCCAGAGCGATGTCCTATAAAGAGAAACCCCTTTCACTGCTGCTGAACTTGCCTGGAACAGAGGGACACCAGGCCACAGAGTCTCTAGCCAGGGGTCATTTGGTTCTCTGTGTCAGACAACCCTTCCTGGTTGGTTCTTCGAACCTCCTGGGTAACGGGGACAAGGGGAGTCCCCTCAGAATGAGTAGGAGGGCAGGGGCCTCAGACTTCCTTCAACTGAGCAGAAAGTAAGAGTCCCACTCCCAGGATAAGCCAGGAACAGACAGAGGGAGGAAAGGGACCAGCAATACCTTCAGACACTTTCACTTCCGGGTCACAAGTTTGGTTTCCTGAACCAGAGAGTCACCCTATCAGAAACATTAGGGGAACTGGCTGGGGGGCATGTGCAGCTCACAAGCTGGGCAGCAGACCCACAAACCTGCAGGCACGGGATGCTTTGCCCAGCTCATTTTGCGAGCCAATCTGTTGTGGTCTTGTTGACCTAGCAAGGGTATTTGGTTAATGTCGAAATGAACTCTACATACTCTCTTTTTTCCTTTCTCTCCTCCCTCCCTGTCTCCCTTCCTTCTATTTCAAGCTGTGTAAATAGCATATTTGGAACAGCCACAGAGAGAGCCTGCATGGAGGATGAGGCTCGGAGATGAGATGGGATCCGGGAGAGAATTCCCAGGGCTGGAGGCAGGGGTGAGGCCCGGGCACAGAGGCACAGGGGGGTTGCTGCATCAGAGTCACCTGCTTCCTCCTGGCTGGAAGGGAGCTCTCAAAGTCCAGTTCACTAGGCTCCTGAACAGAGGCAAAGTGTCTGTGATGATAATGCAACCCCTTCCGGCTGGGGGTGCACATAGGAGCTTTAGGTATTTTCTGCAACTAGAAATCTAAGCACTGTGCAAAACAGATGATCAAGGCAGACGTAATGGCTTCTGCTGGCAACCTTGAGTAGCCAAGATCTGACTTTCTCCTGGGAGAACCTAAGAGAAATGGGGGTCTTGCTCACAAAGCTCTTCCTGCCCCCAAATCCCACACCCAATGCTCACACGCCTTCCCATTTCTCCCTTCCACTACCGTCAGGCCAATAACCAAACATCTGGAAACCATCACTGTTTACTGAGGGGCACTAGGGGGAAGAAACTCACTTGCTGATACCTATGTATTACTATATGTAACCTATAAGGTAGGCATAGTCATAAAATAATAATTTTGAGTACTTAGAAGTATCCAAACATGTGCTGAGCGCTATCCATGTAATGCTGGAAGACTCAAGACATTGTTGCTGCACTCCGGACGAGGCCCATGCTGGCCACACTGCCCAGAACCCTCAGGGCAGAGCTTCCTCCAGCGGTCCCCTTCTCACTCACTGTCCTTACAAAAAAGCTCACTAAGGTCAGGCAAGATGAGAACTAACATTCTGTGACAAAATCAGTGGAGAGGGAGAAAGAGGGCTGGTTGGACTCCAGCAGCTTGTGGATCCTTTCTAGAATGAGCCTGCCTAAAAGGCCTTCTTGAGCTTCACTGTCAGAGAATTGTAAGGAGGCCACCAGGGAGGAGGAGGATTCCATGATGAATTATAGATCCAAACACATTTACCAACAAAACACTCTTATGGCTAGGTTGATAAGGGCAAAACCCTGTCCCCCTGTTGGCCTTAGCAGAGCAGAACCTTACAGAAAGGGTAGAGGAGAGCTTGGGGCCCCTCCCCACTCCAAGTGTGGTCTCTCATCTCTTCCTCTGCCTGTGCCTGGGAGGCCTCTGGACACACACGCAGCTTTGTTACCAGTCAGGCTGGGCTGGGGGAGGCCAGGGGTGTCTGAGGCCAGCAGGGGCTCCTCCCCTTGCAACTCAAGTGGGAAGCCTCAGGTTGTGCCTAGCTGGTGGCAGATCCTTGCCTCTGAAGGGAACAGGCTCCTCTAGCCCCTGGTGAGCCCTTGGAGGCACTGGGTGAAGCCCTGGGAGCCTGGTTGGAGGGGACAGTCAGATCTCTAAACCACTTGGCCCAAGAAATGCCCAGGTCTTTGGAGTTTGGGTTTGGCCGTGGCGAGGGCAAAGGGCAGGGGCGGAGGTCAGTGGAGGTGGTCCGCACCCTCAGACAGGTAGGCTGACCCTGGACTCTCTAGTTATCCGCTCTGCCATGAGGCAGTGGAGGTGCCCTGTCCTGTATTCTAGAATCTCCAAGGCCACTCTGGAGCACGTCAAGGGGAAAATAAAGAGGCTGGGTTCTAAATGATGCAGCAAGAAAGAGAAGGTTCCAGCAGCCAAATAGCAGGGAGCTGTGAAGCAGGGAGCGAGTGCAGCAGATATCAAACCTGCCAACCAGGACACCAGGCCACATTCGCAGATGTGTCCCAAAGGGTACTGGGCTCTGCACAGGTGTGAAAGGGGTCACAGAGTTTGTCCCTCACAGTCCGATGGGGCCTCACTGACACCTGGACCACCCATGCCATGAGAAGCTGGTGTCCCTCCTGACCCCTCCCCGGGGTGTACCTGCAGCAGGAAGCGAGCCTGCCGGAGCTCCCGGAGATCCCCGTAGCTGTGACTCTGGCACGAGTAATGGTCGGAGGACCTGTCTTTGCTGCACATGTTGAAGATGAATGGATCACTGATGCTGGAAAGGAAACAGGATAAGCAGTGAGAGGGCGTGTGGAGGCTTGTTCCCCTCCTGCCCCACATCCCCACCGTAGTTCTGGAGACACCGTGGGTGGAGAGCTGTCATCACTGCCAGCTAGGGGAGCCAGCCCCACTGACCCCTTGCCTCTGTCAGCCTGCCCTGGAGCAGGGTGAGGCATAGTATCATCAGACGAAGGGAAAGCCTCCAGGGCAGACAGTGGCACAAGGTGGGGCATGAGTGTAAGAAGTTTCTCTGGGCACATGGGTCAAACATGGGTCAAAGAGGGGAAAGAATAAAAGACCCCATTACACATGGAGAAATGTCAGGCCAGAAGGCAAGGACAGAAAGATGAAGAGCCTCCCTAAAAAGCCTGTGTTCAGCGTGGCTTCAGCAGCGTGGGGCCTGGGGTGGCCCAGCCACCCTTGAGCCCCAGAGACATGTGTGGCGGGCTGAAAGACACTGGCCACAGCATCGGCCGTGGCCCCCGCACTGGCCCCGAGCCAGGAGCCCTCTCAGAGGGCAGAATGACTCCCCTCGGGAAGAAAGGGAGAGGGGAGAAAGGGAGCATCATGAATTGGGCTCAGATTCACCCCAAAGAGGACAGTTCGTGCACTGGGAGTAACGGAAACACCTTTAGGGAACCAGATCAAGCTTTTCACCACCCATGAGCGGGGACTTAACAACACTGATTTCAGTTGCAGACTTGCTTCTGAGTGATGTAGCAAATTTAAATTGTACATGGCTGCAAAAGCTCTGATCAAATGCCCTTTCAGGACTTGAGAACTGGAGGCCCTCCCCCACCGCCATGCCGGGTCACCTCAGCCCTCAAGAAGCCTGCATACCAACCACAGATCCAAGGAGCCAAGAGCCAGGAGAGCCCTTGTGCCCGCACAAGGTAGCAGGAACGGGCAAGAAGCTGGCATCCTGTCTCCTCCCCACCCCAGTTCCAAGGGGGACCTCCTCACCCGGCCTGCCTGGCCACTAGGCCTCCATGCCATGCTGCCCGGCAGTGGCAGAGACATGGGTCTGTCACCCAGGTCAGCGAAGAGAAGAAATGACTTTTCCAAGGTCATGTGGAACTGGATTCAAACCAGGGTCCTCAGACTCTAAAATCCAAGCTCATTTACTAACACCTTTTCTCCTCTGAGGCAGAAAGGCCTGCTGGCTTTTACAGAGCTCTCCCCGTGAGCTCTCTCCTGTCAGCAGACTCTCTGCTGACTGATCCCATGACCCAACATTCAGAGACACTGGTGACATGAGGAAGAATTTTCTGGAAAATGCTTTTAGGCAGGAGCTTTCAGGAGGAAATGCACTCATTTTTCTCCTACTTGCAGGGATGGAATAACCATATTGGGCAGGAATGCTCAGACAGACCCAAATGCTCAGGAAGATTAAACTGTAAAAAAACATTATTAAGTTCACTGATGTAAGTCCAAAGTGGAGTTCTGTCTTATGCAGCATTAGTCGGACACAGCTGTGACTGGGTCTCTTGGTCAATGCTGTATTCAATGTGTTCTGCACATTAAGTCAGAATTCAAGCACCTAAGGTCAATGAACGGAAAGGAGAAACTGATTTATATTCTTCTTTAGGTAGAGCTATGGCTATACGACGGTGCTCACAGCTCTTTTGCTTGACAGCTCTCATGACATATGCAAGTCTTCCAGAGTGGGCATAGTATAATTTTTAATATTCTTAACTAGGGAAACCACACTAAACTAAGTGATATTCATATTGGTTGACCTGGTCTTTGAGAGTCAAAGTGGGGATTTCAGACTAAAATATTTGAAATTATTTCTGGGGTTATCCAATTGTTGTCAGAATTTATACCTGTAATTTTAATCCAGAATCAGCCACTAGATCACAAACTATTTACCAGACTCAGCCCACACCTGATTTACCTCTTTGTGTCTATGGAGTCTACCACAGTGCCTGGCACAGTACAGATGTCCAGTCAGGATTTGTTGAATCAAATTAAGTGGAGAAATGATGCTTCAGAACTGCTGACTGATGTGGAGAAAATATCTGATTATAAGCACCCTATTCACAAAATACCAGCTAGATGGCTTGGATTCCCACAAAATGAATCCAATGTTGTATCTTGTGAGCTTGCCTGACACTATTTTGGATAGAGTAGTGTCCTCCAAGAAGGATATGTTGAAGTCCTAAACCCCCAGTACATCAGAATGTGACTTTTTTTTTTTTTTAAATAGGGTACTTGGTCCTAATGCAACAGGACTGGCATCCTTAAATAAAGGGGAAATTTGGACATAGACATACCCCCAGGGGGAAGATCTTGTGAAGACACACAGAAAGAAGGTGGCCATGACTGGAGTGATGTATCTGCAAGGCACGAAAGGCTGAGGGCTACAGGGACACACCAGAGGCTAGAAGGAGCCGGGAAGGATCTTCCCCTAGAGCTGTGGAGAGACCACGGCCCTGCCAACACCTTGATTTTGGACTTCTAATCTCCCAAACTGGGAAAAATAAATTTGTTTTTTTCAGCCACCCAGGTTTTGGTACTTTGTTATCCAGCCTTAGGAAACAAGTATAGTCATTCTATTCAAGCAATAGGCGATCCCACTGAAGGCAAAATAAACCTTCTGGAAAAGTTCTTACTTTCCGAGAAAAGTTCCAAAGCACACAAGTGCAATCAATGCTGGAGGATTTGCACTGTTCCTGAGTTCTATTTGGGATATTTTTATGGTGCATCAGAGAGCCTCTTTCAAGGTCTAGTGCTCAACTCTACTCAATTTGATGGCAGTCTTTTAGAGAGACATTTCAGGGTTGCGTTAGCTTTATTTTTAACTGGCTTATTTATGTATCTTCCTTAGTCTCCATGGTCAAAATAAGACTTAATCCTCATTGATCTGACATGATCTAATAGCCAGTCTCTGAGAACCACATCTCCATGAGAGCTGGCAGTTTCTTAGGGCAGCAGACAAGACCTCAGCTAGAAAGCACTGTCTGATTAACAAATACTTCTCTGAGGGCCGGTGACTAAAATCACCTAAGCAATTCCCAAATGACACTCCAGGGTAGTCATTTGTTCTCACTCCACTCCTACTCACTTTCCAGAGAAGTACATTTCCACACATGGGAGGTCTCCTTTGTCACTGCAAATCAAGTGCGTCCATACAGCCTGACAACAGGACTTCTAGTAAAAGTGCAGAGATAGTCAGTTTGATCAGGATTAGATGCTCCTCATAAACACAATTTACCTGATCAATAAGATCTTATCTAACACTAACTCGATTTAAACCAGAGGTGGAGAGTGAAGCAATGGATTCTATAAGTCATTACACGGGCATTCCATGCATAGAGGTAAGAGTAGAAAGCTTTCATCGGCTCTCAGAAAGGCAAGTCTGCAGACCCATCGTCCATATTGATCAGTATCAATAAAACATGAGCAATAAGATGGGATGCACATGCCAAGTATTAATTAGGCTCCTCCTGCCTTGGAAGAGCACAGAAGACTCACAGCAATGGGTGAATATTTGGTATGAATAAAAGATGGAAATTAGCAGGGAAAAGAAAAAGGCCAAGCATTTTAGAGCAAATCTTAATCAAGGGAGAGTGAGCTGACATACTCTTCTTCCGCACTCCTTAAACTCTTGCTTCCTGCCATAGGCTGGAAGTGATATGACAACCAGGCATTGAAATTCTTAGTTATTGACAGGTTAGGAGTTATAGTGGTTCTCAAAATGTGGTCCCCAAAATGTGGTCCCAGACCAGTAGCATCAGCATCAGCTGAGAACTTGTTAAAATTTCTGGCCCTACCATAAACCTATTAAACTAGCAATGGAGATGAAGGTGGGTCCCAGAAGTCTCTTTTAACTAGCCCTAAAGGTGACTTGATATTAGTTTGAGGGCCACTGGGTTAAGAGGTTCTCTTGTCATCATGTGAACATTTGCTAGCCAGAAAAATCAAGATATCTTCATCCAAATGTATTCACATATGATGATCCAGGAAGCATATGACCTGACCACTGAAGTCCTAGCAAAGGTGTGAACACAGTCACTTGGATTTTGGGTGGTTGTATTTTATAAACACAAGAAGATTAATCAGTGAGAGCTACCTGAACCCAATAGAACAAATATACTTGGGTACTGGGGAGGGCACGTATTGCATGGAGCACTGGGTGTGGTGCAAAAACAATGAATACTGTTACGCTGAAAAGAAATTTAAAAAAAATATATATATATATATACATATATATATATACTGATCATAAAGAAGAACCTCTGGGGGAAAAAAAAAAAAGAAGAAGAAGAAGAACCTCTGAATTTCCTGCCAAAGACTTCTGGTACTAGTCGGTATAAAAAAATGACTCTTCAAATTTCTACCCAAATCTCATCCATCCTTCCAAACCCAGATCTCAGCCCATGTCGTCCAGGGGCTCTCATTCAGCACACTAGCCTCATTTCATCAACTGTGAGCCCAGAAGAGTCCTCCCATGACATATATTCTGTCCCATGAAAACAGTGCTCTCCAAAGTCTTTCCAAAAGCACCTGCTTGTGCTGCCATGTGCCCTCGTGTGCCTCACTCAGCATGAGGGGAAGAGTGTGGTGCTTCCCGCAGCATGGCCAGTCAACAAGCTGCTGAATGAATAAGCTGGTGGGACTGGCTCCAGTTACCCAAACAACCTAAGAACAGAGCCCCATTGTCTTGTATCCCCTTCATGCATTCCATGTCTCATGAAGCATGAGGAGCTGCCTTCTTGTTACCCACACTGGATTTTAGCTTTGGGAAACCACGGTCAGGGATGCCCATGTCTTAAGGTTCTTCTGCTTTTTCTCATGGTTCAGTTTCAGGCCCAAAGCGAAGCCCACAATAACACCAAGGTGGGAGGGGTAGGAGTAGCGGTGGCCACGAAGGAAGTCGAGGCTCTGCAGAGTCTACGGGAGAAGTCGGGAACTCACTTGGATAAGCAGTGGCGCGTACAGTAGACATCCCCCACGGGAGAGAGCGTGAAGTTCTCGCAGATGTAGAAGTGCTGATGGCCAAAGAGTAGGACCCCTTCGGAGACCAGATGGCCCTGCACGATCACCAGGGAGTACTTCTGTGTCACCTGGAGGGAGACAGTGCCAGAGTCAGTCTGTGTGTGTGTGAAGCATGCCCATCATTCCTACAGAGGGCATGAGGGTAGTGAGCAGGTGCCCACTGAGGGTCTGGAGGTGAGAGCAGCTCCTTGTTCGAGGGACAGAGCCACTGCCTGAGAGCTGCCCGGCTCATCTCAGTCTCAGCGGCCCTTCTCCACCAAAACCAATGTCTTGTTATTTGAATTACCCACGGCCACCCCCACCCCTACCAAGACATGTGGGTGAGTATTTATGGCTGTACTGAGCACACTGACCATTGTCCTCTCACTTTAAACCCCTCCACAACCAAGCAAAACTTCTGTAGTTAACAGCAGGGAGGGTTTTCAGGGTACCAGGCATCCCTCCGTGACGCAGGTGATGGGGCTTGTTGGGGGGCTAGCTAAGTGGCTGCACCAGGACTGGAACATGCCTGTCCAGAACCACAAGTGTAAGACTGGCCCTGCTGCCTCTGCAAGGCCAAGGCTAGTCCAGATGTACACAAAGGAGGCACGTGCTCCCCCAGATCCCTCCTTTCAGACTCAAGTTCATTCTCTCAGTGGCTGGAAATTCCGGCAGCTTTCCACAATCACTGGTGCTAACGAGAAAGCCCGGCTGCAGGGCACGCGCCCTTCCTAGTGGCAGTCTCTACCCAACAACTGGTCCCTGCAGGGTAAGAAGAGTCACCATGTGCCCCAGTCCCACCCCACACCTCCCGCTCTCATGGCATCACCTGAGGCATCAGAGTTGCCCTTCTCCCTCTGCATGACCCTGTGACTGTCACTCCCAGGGAATGTCCCTCGTGCACATCTCTGGCCCATAGCTGGCTTCCCAGGGAGTCTGACCTGTGTCTTGGTATGACCTGGATTTCTGCATGAAGTAAGGACTCAGTGGTTGTTTACATGGAATAAATCCCTGAACAAGTGAGGGAATCAATGAATTCTGGATGACAGGACCCCAAACGGACTAAGAGTAAGGCCAAGGCCAACATTTTCTCAGAGTAATTCTGTGCTAATTCCAGTTACACTAAAGAGGAACTGATTTTTTTTTAAAGATTTTTATTTATTTATTTGACAGACAGAGATCACAAATAGGCAGAGAGACAGGCAGAGAGAGAGGAGGTAGCAGGCTCCCCGCTGAGGAGAGAGCCCGATGCGGGACTCAATCCCAGGACTCTGGGATCATGACCTGAGCCAAAGGCAGAGGCTTTAACCCACTGAGCCACCCAGGTGCCCGAGGAACTGATTTTTTTGTTTGTTTGTTTACTATCTAACATACAACCACTGTAAACATTTTACACATGCTAACCAATATAATTCTTACAATCAGGGATGGGAGGTTTTACTATTGGGGAGGGGAAAAAAAAGTCCCAGAGATAAGAGTCTTACCAAAGATCGGTCACCTAGTAAGTGGCAGAGCCTGTAATTAAAGCTAAGCCCCCTGCTCACTGTTGGGAACAATACTGGGACTACACTGATGGAATCTGGAAAGCAGGTTTTCCAACTGGTGCATCTAATGGAATCAGTTGTCAGGGCCAAGGCCGGAAAGTGAAGATGTGCCAAGGATTTTTTGTTCCAAGATAAGCATTGCCCACAGTCATCTCTGAACTATTTTTCCTAAGCGGGGACTAGCCAAGAGCCATGGTACCTAAAACCCAAGCCTCCTGAAGGCAGCTGGTTCCCTTGGCTTCTCCTGCACCCACTTTGTCAGAGAAGCTAGCCCTCATGCCCCCTGTAGAGCCAGAGTTCCCCATGGACTCATTTCCAAATTTGTTCATTCATCCAGACAGTCATCTTTTCAAAAATTTGCACTCAGCTCCTACTACATGCCGGGCCCTGAGCTGGGCTTCAGAGATAGAGGGATGGACAAGATAAACAAGAACCTTACCCTCATGGGGCTTAAAATCCAGGGGGGAAGACAGATAGTAAGGATGCATGGCCAATAAACTATAGCAAACTGTGATATATGCTGAGAGAGGAAAACTAGGGTGATCACAGTAAGGAAGAGAAAAGCTTAGAAGGGACAATATTTTAGACAAACTCTAAGACCTGATGGATGGAAATGGGGCAGCCATGGAAAACTCAGAGAGCATTTGAGGAGAAAAGAGCATTCAATACAGAGCTTAGAGGCAGGAAAGGCAGATCTGGGGAGCAGAAAATAGGTCACAGTAGCGGAGATGGAGTTGAGAAGTAGGCATGCTTAGATCCTGGGGTGGGATGCTTGGAATGTCTTGGTGAGGCCAGCGGGCTCTATGCTCATTGCAACAGGAAGCCATGGGAGGGGTCATTTCTGAAAGGGGACCCTGGCTGCTGGGTGCAGAGTAGATCAGAAAGAGCCAAGAGTGGAGGGAACGTGATCAGTCATGTGGCTATTTCTGTGGTCCACTGTAAGAAAGATGGCTTGGGGTGTGGAGGCATTCTGTGACAAGTGGGAGGAAGGAGAGAAGTGGGGGATCTAAGCAAGAAGGGGTGGAATGAACAAGAACTGTACCAGACAACTGCAAAACCGGTAATACCAATAATAATAGGAACGACTGAGGAGCAGGTCTACTTTGGGAGTTAGGCATTTGAGTGGAGCCCTCCTGCTTCCCCGAAAGCCTTCTCCAAAGACAAGCACCATCACCACTTTATTGTATTGAAGGAGAGCAGATGAGCTCCCCCCCAAAATATGTCAATGTGCCATGACTATTTTGAGTCAAAGACACTCAAAAAACAGCAGGTACAGGAAGGGCACTCTGGTTTACCCCCCCCCCTTTATTTTATTTTATATTTTGGGGAGGTGGAAGCAGGAGATAAAACTCCCAGATGAAAAATGCCCTCCTTCTATTAGGAGGAAAAGAACATTCTCAGCACCCGAGACAATGAGGTCAGACCTAGAGAAAATTGTACAAATAAACCCAGTTGGGCGAACCTCCCTTCAGCCTCCCTGTATACTTTGGGTACTTTTTCACAATGACTACACTTTGTTCAACTTAAGCCCTTAGGCCCAACCCCTTTGGGTTCTTCATTTTCCTGTGAAGAAAGACTCCCACATACCTATAAAAGTAAAATCTGTATGATCCTGTCGGTCTGTCTTCTGTCAACTTAATTCTCCAGCCTAGCTGGAAAGTCTGAGGGTTGGGAAAAGTTGGACGCCTCCTACAATGTATCCACTATCCACACAAAGAGATTCAGAGAATACATTAGATGTTTATATGCCTTTTCTGTTTTATACATACAGCATATCCATATGCTCACTGTTCTGCATCTCATTTTTTCCTTCAAATGGCCCACCTTGGAGGTCCTTCCAAATCCCTTTTTAGAGAGTGGCCTCACTCTTATTCATAGGTACAGAGTATTTCTTTGCAAAGATGTACTAGACTTATTTGTCCAATTCCCCTATGGATTCAGGCTGTTTTCAAATGTCTGGACATTACAGGCGATGCTGCAGTGGGCATCCCTGGACATAGGTCACTTGGAACATGCAGGATGGTGGGTTGAAGGGTGTATTCCTAGAAGTGGGACTGCAGATCAAGGGTGTGGGTATCTTTAATTTTCCTCTGTTGCTGGACTGCTTCTCTGTAAGGTGGCACCAACTTACAATCCCACCAGCACCATCAGGAGGCAGTGACACCAGCCTGTTAAAACTTTTCCTCTTATCCCTTTGTACGGAGGAGACCTTATCCTCAAGCTCACACAGCGGGGCGGAGACAGCCCCAGCACCAGCCCCAGCCTGTATACCTCCAAGCACCCCCTTCCCTGCGAAGCCCCGCCCTCACCCACCTTCTGTGGTGCCCACAGCAGGGGCTGGAGCACATTCCTACAAGCCCCTGGTATTTTCCTTTGGGGAGAATTAAGTAACAACCAGAATAAACCAAACCTCGAGAAAAATCTCTGGTGAGAGCTGGGTTAATAGCTTAAGAATTGATTCTGCTGGAAAAGAATGGCATTTTAAAAACTAAAAAATGAACCTAAGTGAACTCTTACCTGCTCTTCCATTTAAATTAGCCCTGGGAGGGCTGCCTCCCAAATTTACTCATGGTTAAGAATTCCCTCATGCCGTGATTCTATTGATCACTTTAAAAAGAGGATCTTCTGCCTCAGAAGTAGAACTGAGGTCGGCTAGATGATGTATCATCACTTCTGGCAGGTGGATCACGAAGTATGTGGCCATACCTGGCCCCGTGCATGATAAGGAACAGGTTGGCTGGGAATCCCAAAATCCCAGAGCTGAAGCTACAGGGGCAACAACTGGCTGGGACATCCCATGGCTGCCCCTTGCCAGCATGTTCTCCTACAGTCAGGCTTTAGTGTGCACATCTGCAAAAGGGGAAGGTTGGCTGGAGGCCCTCTGAAGTTCTTCCAGCATTATTAATCTGCAAGTCAGTGCAATGCCCTAATTCAATGAGCAGAAAAAGTGAGATGCAGAGCCATCCAATGAGATACCCAGAACAGAGCTGCTGCATGCACTGTTTTCTTCTGCTTGCCTACACCCTGCTATCGATGCATTCTGTTCTACTGGCATATGGAATAAGTATTTTAATTTTTCAAAAATGTACCAATTGCCATGAAAAAGTTAAGTATAATAAGGAGAGAGACTATATAAATTCCATTTATGTTGGCTACCTGTGAACTCTGGCATCTCGATCACTTTTAAATGGAGCATTTGGTCATGTTAGTGATCAAAAAATGTATCAAGAAACAATAACGACATACTATTTTTATATAAATTGGGCAAATCTGAGAAGAAATAGAATGCATGGGTCTGTTACAGCAGCTCGTCTTTTCAGGCAGAGACAAGGAGCGGGGATGCCCCCTGCCTGCCTGCACGTGCCACTTCCGCAGACAAGCCTGCAAACAGCTGAGCCTCTCAGCCTCTCACTGCCGGCGCAGACAGAGCAGATGGAAAGGACAGAGATTGCACCAGCGTAAGGGAAACATACTGAGGACTGTTCAAAACACAGAGTCCAGGGAAGCTGCCTTTACTAAGGATTGCTCATTGGTGGCTGACTGAA